ATGATCTGTTAATTAATGGGAACAGTTTATGACCAATGACAAATCTTAATTTTAATTTAATCAGAGGGTGTTTTTTGCAATTATGAATCTCAGTTATACTATTCTGAATGAATAACTTTTACATTTCAGTTAAAAAGAAATGATGTGTGCTACTAACGAGTCATTGAGTAAAATATTTCTTAGGCGTTTTTTTTTAAAAATGAAAAATACATATAATTTTTCACAGGTATGTTAATAAGAAGTTTCTTTTTCTCATCCTGCACATCTCATTTGCCAGGCACAATGCATTCAAGACCTGTTCCTTCTTGGAGAAAATCTCTAAAAACAAATGTTATATATTATATGTTATATTTTTTACAAACTCAGCACAAAAGTTTATTGATAGTGTACTGGCTGACATGTTAAGATTTACAATAACTTTATTGCAGTCATTAACTAGCACATTAATTCCTTTGCAGTGCATTGCTCTCCAACAAACCCTTAAGAGCTACATACTGTAGAGGAAGAGGCATTTAGGGACTGTGAACTGGGAGGGGAACATTGATATTTAGTTTATTACGTACTCATTATGTTATTCCCTTCCAGGATAAGCATCACTATGTAGAATGCAGAAAATTAAAAGTATAATGGATTTTTAAAATAAAAAAATAACACAAACTCTTTCCAACGGATGTTTCTGAATTAATACTACAAGAATTACAGTGAATTGGAAAGGCTCACTTTATCTGGGATAAATGAAAGCAGAGATTGAGAAATCCCACCTAGAAGTCATCTTAAGATAAAAGAGGATAACTCCCCCCACTGCGTTTCTCAAACTTTCCTCAGAGACAGACTAGCCAAACCTTGAGGAAGCTGTCTTTATCTAGGTTGCGCAAGTCGCCAACTATTTTCTCACCTCTGGTGGCCACCTGGAGAAATAGGCGGGGCCGGGATGCCCTGATGGCCGCTGATAAGCTGCCTTCCCTGCCCAAGAACGATGCCTTCCTTTCGGGCATCAACCGAACTCTCAGCCTGCCTTCCCCGGAGCGGATCCACCAGCTGAATTCCTCGGTGAGGGTAAACTCGAGCCGGCTCGCCGTCGCCACCACTCCTTCCTCGGAACGCCACGCACAGTCGTCCCTTAGGTTGGCTTCGCCCACTTCCAGCACCAGCTGCTTGGCGCGGCGCAGCTTTCGCACCGCCCCGGCTTTCAGCACCTTGGACTGGGTTCTGGCACGGCCGGCGGGTTCCGAGGCTCCTCCGCTCCTGGGCGGCCAAGAGCTGGCGGCGCGCAAAAGCGGCGGGCAGTCCAGCACCAGGCTGCAGTGCGCCTTGAAGGCGTCCAAGGCTTCGCCTCTGCCCCCGTCGCCCAGCACCAGCTCCCTCAGGTAGGTCCGGAACAGCGACGGCACGATGAAATCCATCGCTAAGCTCTTTCTCTGCTGCCGGGAGAAACTTGGGGCATCTCGGGGCGGCCGCGGGCCGCCAGCGCGAGAGCCCGAGAACGGGCTGCCCGCATCCACAGTCCCCACTTGCGTGGCAAAGATAAGGAGAGGAGCCAGAAGGAACGGCGGGAAACCAGCGCCTTTCATATTATCAGGCGGCTACGGAGGTGTGGGGGGGGGGAGACGGGGCAGGACGGCTAGGTGACCAAAAAAATTGATCTTCCGCCTGCCCCAGCCTGTTCCAGCGACCCCTCCCCCCCGAATTCAGTCCTCCCTTTAAGCCAGGTTCGCGGCCGGGGACCCCTTCGCAAGCTGCGCGTCTAAAGGTCTAGTCCTGTCCTCGAGGCGCGCTCTGCCTTGGAAGGAGCGGACTTGGAAGGGAAGAGAGCGTGTGTGGTGGGGTGTCTCTTCGCTTCAATCTCGCGCCAGCCTCTTTCAGCGGACCGAAGAACTCCTCCTGCACGCCGGCTGACCGGATGCTCGGGAAGAGGAGCAGCCAACAACCCCGTTGGGCCTTTTTCCACGTCGGAAAGAACCTTTGGCCACGAAGGGCAGGCTAAAAGCTTCTCCTCCGGGTGTTTCCAGCCCCTGCTCAGAAATGCGAGTTTGTAGGGAAGTGGAGGCGGGAGCGTTTATCGGATCTTCCCTTAACGTCCGTCGTTCCTCTGGTCTCCAGGCGAGGCCGGCTCAGGAAAGCCGCGGACGACCCCGACTTTCACGTTTGCTCGCGCGGCTCCGTCTCAGTCCTAAGCCGAGGCGGGCGCTCTCGGGGTTTCTACTAGCGGGACTGAAACGAAGGTAGCCCCCTCAAGAGAGAGTGGTCTGAGGCGGCCCCTGGCGCCCTTGTTGTAGCGGGAACCCACTCCGGCTAGCGGGGTGACTTCTTTAGCCGCGTTGCTTCTCCTTCTGCGCTGGGCTTTCTCCTTCGCTTGGAGCAGGTGACGGAGAGGCTCTTTTTAGGTGACCCTCAAGCGAGGAGTCTCGGCCAGCTACGCGCGACTCTCTCCCCCCCACCCCCACCCTCTTCCTCTTGCTGCTCGACAGGCGGGTTTTGCTGGGCGATTCAGCCTCGCTTCTTCTCCCTCTTCGGCCGCGACCGCCGCTGCGCGAAGATTTTTTGACAGGCTCCAACTGCCCGCCACAACCCGAGCAATACCCTGTGAGTGCTGACATCACGCACGAGCGCGGCTCGCGGCAGCCAATGGCCGCCTCGGAAGAAATCATTATGCAAATAAGCAGGGGATCGATAGGGAAGGCTTGAGCTGGAGAAGAGCCGGCCATTGAGAAAAAAAAAAAAACCTCCCATCTGATGGCGGTAACCGGCTGGCTGTTTGAGATGAATGAAATATTCCCCTTGAAGAGGAATTTGCCGTTGTTGTACTTTCCTTAATTTTGTTGTAAAATATTAGACGGGTCAAACAAAAGCCGCTGTGGAAATACCATAGAACGTGCTTAGGCCTTTTAATTTCATCTCCTCTGGCTGCCGGAACTGTAAAATGTTATAAATCACCGACCGGGAGAAATAAGGTGATTCATACTGAACATAGAAGAGGCATAAGGAAGACTATTATTGCAGCAAACGATAAATGCTATAAAAGCAGAAGACGCACTGAGTATGCTTGCTCACTGTTGCTAAATGGCAATGGGAGTGAAATTCTCCAGCTGAAATGCTTTGTCTAAAGGCAAACAGCTGCCCTACCTGCCTGGGAAAAGCTTTGACAGCTTTGGCCTTTTTTCCTTTGTATACAACTCTTAAGCCCTTGCCCAAGTCTTTCCCTCTCCTTTGGATTTCTCTGGCAATTATAGCAGCCAAGAAGAGTCAGAAAGAAGGGAACTAGTAAATTGCAGTTATATTGGAAAATGTGGTAAATGACATTCACAATAGCCCTTAGGAAAGCACAATTTTTCCAATCCATCAGCTTTCATTGACCATGTGCAATCAACTCTTAAGCGATCAAATAGATAAGATTTTTTCCCTGCCAAACCTGTCTTTAACCTGATCCTTTAGCTCAGAGGTCTGCAAACTTGGCAACTTTAAGACTTGTGGACTTCAACTCCCAGAATTCCTCAGCCAGCATAGCTGAGGAATTCTGGGAGTTGAAGTCCACAAGTCTTAAAGTTGCCAAGTTTGGGGACCCCTGCTTTAGCTCTTCCAAAAGTTCACCGTCACTACTGCTGGTCATCCTCTAACACTGAAGGCTGTAGGCCAGTGGTTCCCAAACTTTTTCAGTCCACCGCCCCCTTGGTGCTACAAACTCATCCTCAGTGCTCCCCACCCAGGGGTGGGATTCAAATTTCTGTGAGCATGGCCTAATTTGAGGGTGTGGCTTGGGTCATGTGACTGGGTAGGTGTGGCTTGCTGGTCATGTGACTGGGTGGGTGTGGCTTGGGGGGTCACATGACTGGCTGGGCATGGCTTGATGGTCACATGACAATGTAAGTGTAGTTTGGTGGTCATGTGACTGGGTGGACATGGCCAGGTGACTGGCAAACCAAATACAAGTGGTCCTCACTTAATGGCCGGTTGTTTATGACTGGCCTCCCCAGAGATACTTGACCTGTTTTGGGAGTTTTGATAGCCATGCACACACATACACACACACTCCCTTCTAACTGTGCTGGAGCAGGTCATTGGACTAGCATCGGCAAAGCATCTCTGATTAGATTCTAGTAGTGAATAAAATCTAATCAGAGATGCTTTGCTGATTCTTGTTTATTTGTTTTATTTGTATTTCTTTATTTTATGTTGCTGAATTGCATTGACATGTGTGTCCCTTCTTGTGCACAGCCCACAAGCTTTTGTGATTCTTTGCAGCAAAAATTACTGACCTCTGGCTTTGCTCTACTTTTCAAATGTTCTGCCACTGTCCCATTCTAGGTGCCAGCCCTGCAGGTCCACCCCATTGAGCCCACTGCACTGGAGGGACCTGCCGAAGTGGAGTGGCAGGGAAAGGATGCAAGCCGTTTCCCCCACACCCATGCCCTTTAACCCCAATTGTGTCTCCATGCATGTGCGCCCCTTACCAAGCTACAGAAGGCTGCAGTGTGTGTGTCCCAGACCCTGGAGTGAGTGATTGGGTGGGTGGGTGCAGGAAGACTTCTTAATCCAGATTGCGACCAGGGAAAGGATGCAAGCCTGTTCTGTTTCCCCCACACACACCTATTCTCTCCCCAATTTTCCCAACTTGGGGGGAAAAAACAGCGCTGCTTTCCCTCACCATCAGTCCGTTCCCATGCATGGGCCCATGCGCTCCCCCTCACTCACTCACACACACACACACACACTTTGCACTGACAAGGCATCCCGCCTCCCCCCTTCACTCCTGCCCTCCACTGCACAGGCTCCTTCTCTGTTCATTACACCTGCTCCTGGATGGCAGAGGCACAGTGCACCCAGCCCTGCTGTGCATCTGACCCAGTAATCCCAGCACCAATGGTGGAGAAAGAGGGAGGTCCCACTGCAAAAGCACAGCTTGCTCCTCCTGGCATCCAGGGTTACAAAGATGCTGCTGCACGGGTGGACTAACCAGTTACTTCCCCCACCACCATTTTGCACCAGCCAGAGCTGAGCAAGCGATGTTCCCAGTGCCTCTGCCGCCCCTGGTCAGCCACCCCTCCAGGCCACTGGCTCCTCTGCCACCGCTTCCACTATCCAATGCCCTGGCCAGTGAGGTGGACCTGGACGGCTGCAGCAAGGAGGAGATGGTGCGCTGCTTGCACTGGGAGGAGGCCGAGAAGCTGGCGGCACTGGTGCAATGTGGCCAGCTGATCCAGGGCATGAACCAGCAGCTGCAGGAGCACCTGTGCAAGATCCGTGAGCTGAAAGCCATCTACGGGCGGCTGCAGGCAGAGAACCGCAAGCTGCGCAACCTCTGCTATTTCCTGGATGAGGACCAGCTGAAAGCCAAATGCCTGGCCAGCCACTGGCAGATCTTCGGTCATCACATGGCCCAAGTCCTGCGCTACGAGGTGGCCAGCTGCCTGTGCAAGCTGGCCGGCTTGGAAGGGCTGCTCACCCCATTGAGCCCCTTGCACCACTCTGGTGCAACCAATGGGGTGAACCTGAGGGGTCGGCACCTCGAATGCCCCCCTGCCGCCTCTTAGCACCCCCAAGGGGGCCAGCAGAGAGGTGTCAAGAGGCAGCAGGGGGATGTTTGAGGTGTCGGTATCACAGGATCACTCCATTGACTGTTGCACTGCTCCAGAGCCGACGCCTCGAATGCAGCAGCATGTTGGGAAAATAGAGCAAAGCCCCCACCACCGCATTCAAGGTGCCGGCTCCGGAGCAGTGCAACAGTCAATTGGGTGAGCCTGTGGTGCCGATGCCTTGAACGTCTCCCTGATGCCTCTTAGCACCCCACTGCCGGCCCCCTTGCCTCTTAGCGCCCCCCTAAGGCATCCCACTGCCCCCCAGGGTGCAGTGCCACCCACTTTGGGAACCACTGCTGTAGGCTATTGCAAGATAAATTCCTTCTCCTTCCTATTTTTTTCTTGGAGAACCTGCCCCTTATCAATGCTGAGAATGAAAGGGTAACTTTAAGAGATCTTTAGTAGATAAATACCATAGTAAATTTGGAGAGAGGAAGAAAGATTTTTAATTGCTTTTGGTTAGCTTTAAATCTGGGGAAATATTACAAGTATTTGAAGCTTAAGTATCTGTGCCTGAAAATAATTTTTGGTCACCACCAAGGAATAGTGGTTTTTTTTCCATCATTTAAAAATGATGGCTTGATCCTCTACAACTGGAATTAGTTTTTTCAAGGGAAAAATGGCCCCTTTTTCATTGCCCTCATTATGATTTCCTGACTTGCTAAAATCAGCCCAACTTATCAAATGGCTAATATTAATGTAATAATCATGGCATCAGTATTAAATTTTGCACTTATGTGGAATAATTTTGTCTCTCAATTGTCTTAAATGCTGAAGTGTAATTTTCCTCTGCCTCTGGTAGAAGTTTTCATAAAAGGCAACACGCATGCCATCTCCCCCCCACCACACACATACCCATGATTAATAAGCTGTGCACTGGAGTGACTTCTGCATTAACATATATTTTTCCAGCACTATAAATAATACAATGATACATCTTACTTTCCCAGTTTAGAAGGCACAATGCAAAACTGATACTTCAATTTTATTTTCATTTCAACCAAGCTATGGTCAAGGTACTTAAGACAGCTGAAATATTTGGTAAATTCCACTCAATATACTGCATTCAATTTTTTACTGTTTATTTTGTTTTTGAAAGGGAACCCTCAAGCCTACTAAGTAAATATGCTTTCTGATTTGGAAACCCCTTGCCTTACAAAGTAGGGACTGGCTATGGTAAGGACTTAACAGTCAACAGAAAGCACTCTACACATACCCTGGCTGGTTTTTTGGTGGTTTTTTTTTTTTTTTGCAGAAACCTGTCTGGTTACTCATTTTGTCTAATTTAATTTCTGCTGCTTTTATTGGCTTGCTTCTGGGTTTCATGCAGGGACTTTAATTTGTATTGTTTTGAGTTAACATTGTAAACAACACGGAGATTTTAAATGAAAAACCAAGAACTGTTCAAGTGAAGAAACACATAAAGGCAGTCTCCATTTTAGGTTTGGATAGATATAATGAGTATTATTATAAACATCGGAAAATAAGTAACTATTTCACACCCCATATGTCAGGATAACTGAGGCAGCTTCCACTTTCCAGAAAACCCTGGCCCCTCACAGCTGAATGACAAAAATATTCTAGAAACAGGGATAGGAATGTAAATTGTTTTGTTTATATGTACATGATATCCCCAGTCCGCAGACTGGCACCGGTCTGCGGCCTGCCAGGAACCAGGCTATGCAAGTTAGCAAAGCCCCATAAACACATGGGATCCAGACAGCATGCAAACCACATATACATACACACACACACAACACAAACAGAGGTCTTCAGAAAAACCACCTTCTGTGGAATCAGTTCCTGATGCCCAAAGGCAGGGGCCGTTCGTATATTACATAGATGTCCCCAGCCTTTAGATGCTTCTGTTCAAAGAGTAATAAATATTTATTTATTTAGTAAATTTATATGGCTCTAGAAGGATAACAACTGCAAACAAAATAAAATCAGGATAAAACAACTATTTGGGGAGCAGGGACAGGACAATATCAATGACATAGAATACCTGCCAAGCATATTCATATCTTACATCCAAATCAGCCATAAGGCAGGCTCCCCAATACTGCCAGGGCCTCAGGATGGAAAGCAAAGCCAGGTTTTCAAATGCCTGGTGAAAGGCTGGCAGGGGCAATATAAAATTAATCTCAGGAAGGATGCTGTTCCAGAGGGCAGCTGTCATGCTAGAAAAAATTCCCTTCCGGGGAACATGGTGGAACTCTCTAGTAGACAGGACTCAGAGCATGATCTCCTGTTGGATCTAAAAACATTCCTCTAAATAACTTGAGACTGAAGCCGTGAAAGGTTTTAAAGGTAATTACCAGCACCCTGAATTGCACCTGGAAGCATACTAAACCCATTGCAGCTTCCAGAGCAGTGTTGTCACATGTGCTGAATGACCTGCACCTGTAACTGGCCACGCTGCTGCATTTTGCTGAGGTTTCCCAATCCTTTTCAAAGACAGCTCCAGGTACAGTTTATTACAATAATCCAAATTGGGAGTGACTAATAGGTCTCCATGACTGAGCAGACCTATTCTCTCAAAGTGCCTCCTATTTATTCATTCATTTATTTATGTTCAACTGTCATATTTAAAATATGTTTATAGCTACATCTAGTGAAACATTTGGCATGGAGCTTGGTAATATTTGGTACTGATGCATTGCTCTGCAGGAGATTTATTTTTCATTTATCTCCTTTAAATCAAAAGAAAATGATAACAATGAATGAGTTAGGATTGTTCAGGCAAAAGGGGGCAATATCTACAGCTGTAGTGGAACCCATGAATGCCATGTTACGGATCTCTTGTATATAGAGATTAATTACAAAGGAATAACATAAAAGGTGAAAAAAAAAACCGAGATGTTTCTTAATGTGATATATAAATAAATACTTTATGTAAATAGCAGAGGTTGTATAGAGGCCAAACTTGATGCCTGCCTGGTCAGATTGCTCAAACATCTATGAAAAAAAAAAACAATGATAGGAAAATATATGTTTTTTTTTATTCTTACAGTATTGCACATTGCTGCCAAAGAGATTTTATAAACTGAAATGAAAGGCTTCATACTACTGCAAGTATACTTCTTGAAAAGGATGTTTTGCAGGACAAAACTTACCAACTCCAAACTCAGGCTCATTCATTCAGTATAAAGTATTTAGGGCACTCATATTTTGTTTGTCTTCCATAAGTTAAAAAGCCAAAGCACACCCAAAGCAGCTAGGTTTATTAAGGCTACGGTCCTATGAGCCTCAGATGAGGCCTCGTGCAGCACATATTCTAATATATAATACTGAATTTTGCTGATATCCTCATTATGTAGATTGAAAAAGGGAATTTGAGCAAGAGTAAATGGTCCTTTCACAACACTGCATGGAAAAGAAATTTCTCTTATTTCCGAGTCAATACTCGGTATATTGCATTTTCAGACCTTCTCTTGCACTCTGGCATTATTCCAATTTAATATCTTATGCGCCTCTCCTGATACTAGGATCATAAATATCCACCACATGCTTCATTTAAAATATCCTGCAAAATAATAAAATAATACCAAAAGACCCCAGACACCTATCTTCCAATATATTCCTAACTTGAATTTCTTAGGAAAGAAGTTTTTTAAAAAAAACAAAATATGTAATCCAATTTATATACTGTTCAGTTATTCAGACACAAGCAGATGCTATCTCCCTTTATTTTTGTGTGTATATGATTTCTCTGTAACTTTTTAAGCAAATAGTAAAATATAGGTAGTCCTCGACTTACAACAATTCATTTAGTAACTATTCAAAGTTACAACGGCACTGGAAAAAGTGACTTATGACAATTTTTCACACTTACGATCTTTGTAGCATCCCCATGGCTATGTGATCAAAATTTATATGCTTGGCAACTGGTTCATGCTTATAACCTGTCATACGTGGAAATAACATATATGTATTGCAAGTTCCACCTGAGAAGTATAGAGCAAATGTGACCTTTTTACAATGATGACGGGTTATATTATTGTATCTAACAAATATGTACTGTTTTGTAACATGTTATGTTCTAAAGTAAATGTCAGGTTTTTGGCTGGAACATGGGGGTTTGTATTTTGGCTTGAGAATTAATGCAGAGGTGCTAGGGTCATTCTGACCTGATCGGAACTGGTTAGTGATCCATTGTGTTCAGAAGAACATAACAGGAAGATGCCATGAGAACAAGGGTGGGTTCCAAAGAAAGGGGAAAAGGTGGTACACTATGGATGTGGCATAGGGAAGCACGTAGTTGGATAGATTTTGAACCCAAGGGGCAGAGACTGTATATTGAACCTGTATATATATTCCCCAGCCTTCCTGGGAAAGATTCTTCTGCTATGAGAAGAATTCCCTTTTGCAAAAGCTTAATAATAAAGCTCTTTCATATTGTTCACCGTCTCTAAATGTGTTTTGTGGTTTTCTCACATGACCATTGCTGTGTCCCAAAGTCATGTGATCACATTTTGTGACCTTCTGACAAGCAAAGTCAATGGGGAACACAGATTCACTTTAATAACCAGGTTACTAACTTATCAACTGCAGCGATCCACTTAACTACTGTGGCAAGAAAAGTCGTAGGATGGGCCAAAACTCACTTAACAAATGTCTCACTTAGCAACAGATATTCTGGGCTCAATTGTGGTCATAAGTCGAGGCCTAAAAATGAGCCTAATTAAAAATGAGGTCATGGTGTCTTGATCAGTCTCTATTAGCAACTTTGTTGAAAGAGGTCTATAAGGTTTCGTATGAAAAGGACTGGTATGAAAATACTTTTAAAGTATTCACAAGTGTGACTCAGCATATCTGAGAGGGAGGGATACAAACATGAAAAAAAAAATGTCCTTGATTGAAATTAGTTGACCAGTGTAGCACTTATTTGTAAAGCCATAACCCTTGTTTGGATATCAC